GTAATTGTCTCAAGCATTTAAGCATGATTTCTATATTCTTCTAACATTTTAGGAAAAAAAATTTTTTTGGAAAACCAAAGAGACCATTAGACCTAATTTTCGGAAAAATATATGCCATATGTTACTTTATTATATCTTCTTCTTTTTTAACAGAACTTTACTTTATTATATCTTCCAAAGCTTTCTTTCTCGAATGTCTTTCAAGTTGTTAATGATTCGTTAATTAGTTCTATGAGTTTATACATGATCTATGTATACACCATTTAATTATTTTTCCATCTCAATATTTCGTGTATTTATCCAAAAAAAAAATATTTCGTTTTCATTTCACTTATTAACTAGGAATCTTTAATTTGTTATCTACCATTCCACACACAAAAAGTAATTAATAACGAATCTATATTAGTAATACGAAAATGACTCCATAATAGGATGATATCATATACTAATATGGTACGTCCGCAATCTCCTTCAAAAAAATGTTCATACACTTCATCGTGAAAATAATGTTAATATATTGCAAATCCATAACTCTGAAATATTTAAGTATATTTAAAAAAAAAACTCAAGAATAAATATTGCAAACTTTATTTTTTTTTATGAAAAAAACACATTGTAAGAGTTATGTATTTCTGGCCGAGAAACAATTAATTGTTCAAGATAAATCTAGTCGTCAAATAGCTCATTAACCGGATTTTTAATAGGTTTAAAATGTGATCTTATTTTGACTGATATAGTGAATAGTCAATAAAAATAGTACTATATTTTAAGTCCATTAAAAAATATGGTGAATAAACTACTCGAAAGCTATACTCGTCTTAAAAAAAAAAGGTAAAGTAACGATCAAATGATCAAAGACTCCTAGTTTTCACCAAAAGAAGAGAGTGGTGTATTTCTACAAAATCAAAAGATTAGTCGGATCTTGGCATGGAACTTTCTAGTTATAAACTATGATAATCAATTAAACCCCTTTTACAAATATGTTTGGGAAAATGCTTGAATTGAATAAAAAGATATTAACATTGCGGATTAGGTCTAATAACCATCAAAAATATTATAATTAGCTAAATAACAATATCAGACTGATAGCTACAATATTCTCTATATTTTCTACAATATTATCAAACCTATCCTTCGTCACATGGCTCAATTGCAAGAAAAAAATGAACTGATTTTTGATCCTATAATCTATCGGTATGTGTGTGATTAAGCTGAACCAACCTGTTAACC